TTTGCAGGCGGGACCGCCCGCCAGAGGACGCCAAGATACACATGTATGTTGGCATCGACCCTGGGCGGACCAAGATGTACACCGCGGTGGACGAACACGCCAACGTGACATCCTGTTCATCAAAGGAATTCCACGCCATGTCGGGGGCCAAGTGGCGGGAGGGGGTCATTGCGAATTGGCACGCAAAGGCCCCGGACTATGTCAAGAAGCTGCACCAGTGAGTGGTGATTGGTTGGTGGAGTGTATGCAGGGGTATGCCTTGCAGGGGCGGGCACTGTGTCACGACACCCTGCATCGCTCCAACCGTATCACCAACCCTCGTGCTCAAAACCATCTTCCCGTAGGTGCCCGCCCTACAAGACAGCGAGCACAGCGGTGCTCCTGTCGCGGGTCGTGAAGATCGTCCCAGACCTGCGGCGTGGCCTGGCCTGGCACCGGGACGGGAAGCCGTTCCGGAAGCTCAGGCACCAGGCCTACGTCGGCAGGCAGCGGGCCATCACCCGGCTGGCGGAGCAGTTCCGCGCGCCCCCCGGCATGACTACAGTCGTGGGCGTGGGCAACTGGTCGGCCCAGGACAGAGGGGGCATCATGCGGGGGACACCGCCTGGGCCTTGGATCCGCTTCTTGCGGCGCCTGCGGCGGGTGTGCAGGGTGGTGGTGGTTGACGAGCACAGGTCATCAAAGCTGTGTTGCGCCTGTCACGCCACCCTGCACGCCCACCAGTACGTGCGGGTGCGCAATGGCGAGGAGAAGCTGGTGGACGTGTGGGACACCAAGCGGTGCGGCAACAAGGCCTGCAAGGTCAACGTTGTCAACCGCGACGTCAACGGAGCTGCCAACATGCTTATGCTGACCAAGTGCTTTTTTGCTGGTGCACTTCGTCCCACTGCATTTGGTGGACCCCCTGCTTCCCCTTCCTTTCCTCCCTCCCCCCCGCCCCTGGTTCGCCGATCGAGGCAACCAACTGCGCCAGTCAGATCCCGCTTGCGGGAATAAGCTGCTAGCAACCGGCGCAAGCCCGGTAGCGACATATCTTCGACTCGTGCGCCGCATATGTTGCGCATGAAGTGGGAGCATATGCGCCCCTGCATTCCGTGTGTTTCCAACAGATCCTCCCAACAACAAGTGTCAATGACCTGACGGAGGAGTATTGGGCAGGCAGGCCAAGGCCCATCCGCGCTCCCTCATCCATGCATGGGCTTCCAGTCTCCAAGCACGATGTTGCGCCTCTCCGCCAGGCTTCGGCGGAATGTGTCCATCGTTCGTGGCGGCACAGGCACCACGTTGTCAGCCACCTCAGCAGCCGGCACCATGGATGGTCGTCTGGAGTGTGGTGGGGGAGGTTTTGGGCGTGAGTGCCATCGGACCACACAATCAGTGGGCAGGTACCTCATTGCAACAGAATGCCCATCCTCATCCTCTTCGACATAATCGACCTGCAAGTGCTCGGCACAATGCCTAGGCAATAGCTCCCCCTTCAGTTCCTTGAGAATACATTATCCACCAAAGGAATTGCCAGCACACAAAAGCCCACCTGCGGTGTCCTGACGCCGGGGCCTCTGTTTCAGCTTCCTGCACTGTCTTTCCTGCTGGTTCGCGGTCCTTGATGAAGAGGGGGGTGCTCATCCGAACTTGGAATGGAAACTGCAATGGTGGAAAGATGAGGCTGAGCGCAGTTCTTTCTGCTCACTACCAGCAGCAAATTAAGGCTGTGGACACATAACCCCAAAGCAAATCCTCTGACCAACTGGAATATCCTCGTCCTTGACCATTCCTAAGCAACTTCTCAGAATCCCATGCATTGCAACACCCACCTCACGGTAGCACTCCTCTGTGGTTTTGCCAGCATGCGCCTGCTGGTCATGGCTGGTGGTGTCATGCTCCTGTCCGAGCTGGACCGGAGTGTGCCTGTGGGATGACACGATTGCATTGGGAGGAGGATGTTGGCGGGCACTGAAACAACCGAGAAGGTCGCAGTGCCTGCCAAAATACCTGTTCTGGCAAAGCCCTCCATCGGCACCAGGCATCGGTGCTCCAGCCTGTGTGCCCTTGCAGCAGACAATAGTGCTCCCGTCCTAAGCTTTCGGTGCATGACAAGCGTGTCGCGAGCCGAGAAGCAACAGCTTTGACCTTCCCAGGCATTGCCCAACAGCTTCCCAACCTCACCTGCGTCCTGTTCCTGGTCCCTCCGTGGACATGGAGCACTCTGCCTGCACATTGCGGCGCACTGATAGGTAGTGCGTTCCCCGGAATTGTCGCAGGGACTGCGTCCGGGACGTAAACGCGTGGGCAGGCGTCCCGGAAGACACTCCCGGCGTGGCGAGCACTGCTGGGGCCCAGGCAGACATGCTGAATGTGTGTTTGGTCGAGATGGGTGTGGACAGGATGCCGTGGACTCCGATTGTGGAGTTGGCACCGAGTGAGGCCGGATTTGTTTCCCCAAGGCTTCCACGCCGCGCCCACGATATCGCCAGCAAATTTTCCGCGCGGCGACGAAACGAAATCACCGGCTGATAATCCGGGGGATTGACATTGCCCATCAGCGACGACAGATGCAGAATTGGTGCGATTCTGAGACCTTTTGTTCATATACAGTAAGAAAACGTAAGAGCGTGAGTAGTTTATCGCTCTTAGTTGCTCCATGCCCGTGACTCTTCAACGAGCATGTGGCCCCATGAGCACTTGCATGGGTCGCCCCGGCCCCTCAATGCAAGCTATGCACAGCTCTCAGGCACCATGCATGTTGTTATCATGCTCAAAAAGGAGTCCTGTGTCCTCTTATCGTTCGAAGAGAATCCCTGCATCCCCCAGGCCGACCAGGAACCCGGTGGCCACGGGGGCCACCGAGAGGGAGAGCCCCGATGCGGATGAGGAGGGCCGTGCTAACCCCGAAACGGACAGCTTATCCCTCCTAGATACCTTGGGTAAGCTGCTGCTGGTTGAAGGACCAGCAGCTGGGTGACCTTGAGCGAATGGAGCACCCAGCAGCGACTGCCCTGCCCAGCTGCCTGGCTGTCATGCATCAGGAGCACCTCCCCAGCCCCAGCCTCCACCCGGCCGCCCGTCTTTCCAGCAGCAAGACCCCCACTTCTCCCTCCTGCCACAGTGGAGAGCATCGACCCTGCGCAGGCAAATCCAACCCCTGCCAGCGGCCCCACCCCCAAGAAGACCCTGGCGGAGCGGCTGGAGCTGGCGTACAATGGGGAGGAGGGGTCGGAGCTGGCGGCCCTGCGCAAGCGCCAGAACGCGCGACAGCAGCGCATGGACGAAGAGTCGGGGCGCAGCAACCTCCCCCTCTTCGCGGGCCTCCTCCTCCTCTTCGTCCTCCCCGCCCTCTTCATCCTGGTGGCCGCCAGCCAGTCTGGCTACTTGGACCACCTGGCAAACGGGTGGGGGGCACGCAGCTCCTACTGACCAGCGGGTCTGGTGGTCGAGCTGGGACTGTGAGAGATGCCTCATCCCTGGACGTGCAGATTGGGCATGCTCAGCCTCCTTCCCTCGACCCTCGCCTGCCTCCCTGGCACCGGGAGCCCGCGAGCCTGGATCTCGGAGCCTCTTTCCCAACCGCCCCTGGACAACAGTGTTTAGGTTTACAAAATAGACAGACTGACCTGGGTGCAGGTCGCTCAGAGGCATGACGTGCGCTTGATATTTCAAGCAAGGGCAACTTGCAAACATTAAGACTGGCTGGTGGGACGATGTGGACGAGGGGGTGAGGCGCAGCGGTGACGCACGTCCCCAAACATCTCCAGGCCGCGCAGGAAGGACAGTGCACAACAATGGCTGTGATCGATGAAAAACATGGGAGGGCGAGTGGGCGCGCGGGAGCGCCGTTCAGCCGGGGGGTCTCGCACGGTATGGTACACGGGGATGGGCTCTCTCGGCCAGGGGCAGTTTGGTATGGCACAGGATGGGGCTGGGGTAGATACGGAGGAGGAGGGGGGGGGATGACTTGCGCAGCCCCCTCCCGCACAGAGCTCGTGTGGCCGCGGCTCGGCCAACAAGACCACATGGCGCAGTGTACGGCGCTCGCCAGGCTCCTGGGTCTCGGGAGCGGCAGCGGTGGCCTCGTGGTTTGATCTGTCGGGAAGAAGGGAAGGTGCTGTTCCTCCTGAGGCCGGGCGGCCCAGAACAGCCAAGCCTTGCCGTCACAGGCACCACACCCAGTCCCTCCAGTCCACGCACCTCACCTCAGGCCCCTACGCGGCAAACAGGGTCACGCCCGCGATGTGACCGCCGGGCAGCGTCTCGAAGACCACGCCGCAGTAGGCGTGCAGCAGCGTGGGCGGGCGGGGCGGGGCGTGCGGGCCGCCGCCGCCGCCCGCCGCCAGCGGGGCGGGGCGGCAGGGCCCAAACACGGCGTGCACGGCGCGCACGTCGTCGGTGGGCCCCACGGCGGGGCCGCCCCAGCAGGCGGCCGACGCGGCGCCGAGCGCGGCGCGGCGCTCGGGCGCGCCGCGCCGCGTCTGGGTCGCGCAGTCGCGCTGCAGCGGCACGCGCTCGAAGGCCTCAGCGCCGTCGCCGGTGGCCAGCGGGGCCTGGCGCGGGATCAGGGCCTCGTCCCAGGACCCCAGGCTGGTCGACCGGTCGTCGTCGTCGGTCTCGTCCTCGCCCCCAACCCCCGCCGCCGCCGGGGCCCAGGAACAGGCCGTGGTGTGGGCGTGGGGGTGGCTGCCAGGCTCGCCGCCCGCGTCGTCGGTCTGCACGCCGACGCAGGTCCGGCCAGGGCTCGCCGGCACGGGGCTCGCCGGCGCGGGGCTTCCTGCAACACAGCCGCCGAGGCGCCGGGGCGGGTCGTCGAGCACCAGAGCCGCCAGGTCGTCTGCGTCCGACCAACCCTCGGACGCCCCGTGCCTTCCCCCTGCCCCGCCCCCGCCCCCGCAGTCGCTGTCGACGTCGGCGTCGCTGGCGGTCTGGCCAGCATTGGATGGGGGTTCGCGGTGGGGGAGCGGGGTGCCCAGGCAAGGGGAGGAGCCCAGGCTGCTGCCTGCCTCCGTGGCGCCGGCGTCCGAAGAGGCAGAGGAGGTGTCCTCGGGCGCGGGCGCGGCGGCGCCGCCCAGCCGCGACCGGCCCAGCCGTGCCTTCTTCCCCTTTTTCCCGCCGACGCGTGGCGCGGGGGCGCCGGCGGGGCCGGCCAGGGGGATGTCGATGGAGGAGGAGGGGGTGGGAGACGCCTGACGTAGGGGGCTTGGCACGAGCAGGTCGAGGCCCTGCGATGGGGCATGCTCGACATGCACCGGGTGCTCGGTCGTCGCGTCCCGGCCAGTCAGGCCCCGCCGCTCGGCTGGCCGAGGCTCCTCGCCCGATCGGCCGCCAGCAGTGCTGGTACCCGCGACCAGGCGGGCCCGTGGGGTGTCCATTGGCATGGTCCCGGGTGCGTACACCCTGCGTGGGATGAGCAAGGAGAGGCTGAGGCACCGTTGCCCCCTCCCGCTGCAGCGCAAGTGAGCGGTCCTGCAGCACCGCCGGGTGCCTCGCCTTCAGGAACTCCTCCCTTCCCGGCCCGCTGTTTCGCCACCCATCCCTGTTGCCAAGCATCACTCCTGCCTGAGCATGCCTCGCACACTACCAAAATGCAGCGCCCCGTGCCCACCTGAAGGAGCAGCGGGAGGCGAGGCCGAAGCCTGCGGAGCCGGGCATGCTGGCGTGCAGCACCAGCTTCTCCACGGCGTGCGTTCGCGCACCCATCACGACGTCCATCCCCAGATCGGGGTACATGTAGACGTAGCGGGCGCCCAGGCCTCGCTGCAAGGGCAAGGGGGAGACTGGGCGGCGTCAGCCCGGTGAAATGGCGAGGGGGCGTGTGAGAGCACTGGTGTCTCCTCTCCTGGCTTAGCTTCCTGGCGGATGCCGCCGCACCACCGGCCCTCCCACCCACACCCCCAACCCAAAACTCCAAGCACCTGCTCCGCGGCAGCACTGGTGAAGGTGGGCGGCCCCAGCCGCGTCACGACGTCCTGGGGGGAGTCCCCTAGCTCCACGCAGGCGCTGTTCGCCCCCCCCGGCCCTGCCTCGGAGTAGACTCCGCGGCCGGGGACGGCATGCAGCACGCGGGCTGCACCGGGGTGCCCGCGTGGCGGGGGTGGGGAGGCCAGCGCAGCGGCCGCGTCGCGAGCCGCGCCTGTGAAGAGGCACACCCGGGAGGCCTGGGTGGTGGGCGGCACCGGGAACCCCTGCGGGGCATCGTTGCCGGGAGTCAGACTCATGGCCTTGTCGCAGGGGGGCACCGGGAAGAGGAGGAGGAGCCCCGGGTAGAGAAGAGGGAAGGACGCTGACGCGGGGTCCCACTCCACTGAGAACAAGGTTTGGAGGGGGGGAGGGGAAGGAGAGTGAGGGGGTCGGCGAGATTCGTCGGAGGGAAAGGGATGTGACCTCCCGACTGGAGGGTTGACATTTCAGCCAGCCACCTGAGTTGCACCCCACAGGCATGACACCTCCAGTGTGTTCCCCACCATCAAAGACATCTGGCAGCACTCAGGTAACGGGAACAGCATGACCTCCCCGCCCCCACCTGGGTAGGTCGGCCCAAAGGTGTCATACATGCCGCCCAGGCAGGGAGGGTGCGCCATGCCGCCGAACGCGCGCGCCTTCTGATACGTGACCAGGAGGTGGCTGCTGTCCAGGATCTCCAGTAGGCGCAGGCGCTGAGTCAGCGGCTCAAAGGCGAGGCGAAGGCCGTGCTCTGGCAGGGTGACGAGGATGTCGCGGCTCAGCAGAGCCTGCAGGGGAAGGGGGGGAGGGGATGGGGCGGGGTCGGCGACTCCACGGGATGTGTCGGGCCCCACCACGCGCGGTATGCACCACGAGGAGACGCTCATCACGAGCCAGGACGGTCACGCGTTCCCCGGCCAGCTGGTCGCACGGCACCCAGGGTGAATACCTGAGGCTCATACTGGACCTCAACGCGTCTGTAGGACTTGCGATGCTGCTGCAGATACGCCATGGTGTGTGTTATCGAGTCACCTGTAGGGTACAGGGGGGCTTGGGGGTGAGGGATGCGGGGGATCCTCGGCTCCCAGCCCCAAACTCGAGACCGACGAGGAAGGAGATAACCTACCCAGGACAAACGGTCCCAGGCTCCTTCCCGGCACCAGCTCATGCGTCAGAAGTGCCATGGACCAGGACTAAGGGAGCTCCGCGGGAGCAAGCCTGAGCGTTCGACACCCAGACCGGGTCCCGACAGCAGGGCAAGAGCACCCTTGGTCGGGTCAGTTACAGGGGTCAGGACCCCTTCCGAATGCCCTGCGGGGCCAGATAGCCTCGAAAAAGTACAATTAACTCCACTGAAAAGTCACGACAAGCTCGAAAATGAGCTCGGCTATCTGTTGCACAATTCCGAGTTTTCGAGATCTCGCGCGTCGGAATACCTAATGTGCTGGTCCTTGAAGGTGGGGGTCTGCGATCATCCTTTTGAAGGTAAGATCGACCAAATTGGTGCTGCATGGCTTCCTTGTTTGATTAGGGTAGGCTTGTTACGCCTTACGGCTTTGATCTGCTGTACAGGAGTCTATGCGAGGCCAAGAGAGTTCCAAGGAGACTCTCTTTGGGCATGGTCAAAGACAAGGTAACTCCTGGAGACTCTCATAAAATTAAGAGTACACTCACGGGCTCGTGTGTTGGAATCGGAGCCTTAGCCATTGCTGGACCATAGCCTGAGCCTTCCTAAGGATTGCTTTGTGATGTAGCCACTTGACATGAGGTCGACATACGATTGATAGTGCTCGAAATCTCCCAATGACATGATGATCAGAGCCGGGCCCACTCTTGTTGGGGTTGTGCTCCGCCCTCTCCCTTGGCCACTCCGAACGCTCCATGATGAATCACCATTACTCAGCCGGACCTGGTAATGAAGAGGATGGATCCATTTCCAACTCACATCGATTTCTGCCTCTGTCTCCTCGAAGACACAGACCTAACCTACCTTAATGATGTTTCTAGAGTCTATGATGTTCTGCGATGCACTGCGCGCGTTGCTCGGATGCATGCAAACGCGAATCAGGTGCCAAAGAAAGTAGGGTTTCGGACGTCGATGCTAGGCGACGTTGACACACCGAGGCCCGGAAACCAAGGCCTAGCAATACCAAGTCAACACGCATGCAGGGATCACAGCAGATTTAGAGTAAATATCTTGATAACGCCCGGTTTGCCTCCGCCACAGGGAGTCAGCCACGAGATCGGCCCACGCAGGTTCAGACCCCGACCGTGCACGTTGACTGACCCTGACGCGGCCCCTCTCTCAGCGTCAACCGCATCACACACTCACACGAGACTATCCTCGTCGCCTTGGGAGCATGTTCAGCTCGCCTATGATCCCGGTTCCTGGGATGCATGCAGGTGAGGGGCCCCAGAACCGCAGAAGAAATTTGGGGCAGCCGACGCGGTTCGAAATCCGTCGCCCAGGCTCATATTGCTGTGCACTGCTTGCCAGCCTTTGTCTGATCCATTAGGCTGAGCAATGGAGTGCTTTCTGCCCTATGCCTGCTCGATTCCCCGGGCCCCCCCTTGCATGCCAGACGCCGCGGGAAGCTGCTTGATCGTGCATTAAACCCCATGCTCGCAGAGACCGGCAGCGGGGGCCGCCTCCTGGACGCCTGCGACCTGGAGGCAGATACCATCGGCGTGGCTTCTGTGCCCTCCTCGGCCTCCTCCGCCGTGCTCTCAGACTACTTTATTTTTGACACAGAGCCCCTCCTGGCGGACTGGGGCACCCTGCCCCCCATCAACCCCGGCCCCTACCGCTCCGCGCCCCGAGCCGCCAGTGCGGGGCAGCCCTGGGCCGCCGGTCCCACCACCGGCTATGCCGGCAGCTTTGGCCACACACCCGCCATCACAGAGTCATCCCCTTTTCTGCTGGACGGCACGGCCCTGACGTCCACCCTGCCTCCCAGGTGAGCCCCTGCATGCCGCTGGGTGGGGAAGCGCGCAGGGGCGCCACAGGGTGCAGCGTGTCATTTTCCTGGCTCCCCGTCTCACACACTCGTGCATTGAAGACCCAGTGCCAGCCCTGGAGGGCATGCCCTGGTTGCCATCGATCCCCACTCAGTCCCCACAAGGGCATCAGACAGCCATCTCCACCCACCCCCACACACATGCGCCCCCCACTGCCCACGCAGCGAGACGCCCCAGGCCTGGCTGCAACCCCAGCCCAGCATGGACGGCCTTCCCAGGCCCCCTCCCTACACCGGCCCGCACATGCCCCACACCCAGTCCCTGCCTGAGCTGCACGTGCGGGCGCTGCCGTCGCGCCGCTCCGAGCCGGAGCTGCGCCTGCGCGGCCCGGGGTCTTCACGGCGCGGCCCCCCCTCCCATCCGCTGCCGCGCTCCGCCTCGGCCAGCCAGCTGCTGGACGGCTGCCGCCCCGCCGTGCCCCACATGACCTACCTCACCCCCCTGCACCTGCGCAAGGGCAAGGGTGGGCGGCAGCCCGCCGCGGACCCACGCATGGACCCACGCATAGACCCCAAGAAGGCGCGCCGCATCCTCGCCAACCGGCTCAGCGCCGCCAAGAGCAAGTTGAAGCAGAAGGGCGCCGCAGGGGAGGCCGGGTCCCGCCTGCGCCACTCCTCTGACGACCTGGTGGGGCTGGAGGTCGGAGGCTGCGAGTAGGAGGCCCGGACAGCCGTCCGACGGAGGGGCCTCCCAGGACACGTGCTGAATGTGGCCCTCGCCCAGCCCCGCAGTCCGCACCAGAGCCGGAACAGGGCCCCTTGGCCGAGCCCGCGTCTCGCCTGCAGGGCGCGGGCCGCGCAGGGATGAGGAAGAGCCTGCTCTGGGCCCCTGTTTGAGGGGACCCTCGCTTATTGATCCATACATGCCATCTTTCCAGGCCTCTGGCTGTCACCAGCCCCTCCCACGATCACAAGCCCACCCTAGCGAACGAGGCAATGTCTGCGCTGCCCGCCTTGAGATGCAGCAGCCCCCTACATGTCCTGAACACCTGTACATGCCCCCCACCCCCTCCCTGCTGGCAACGAATCTTTCTCCTGGCATACATGCCGGAAACCTCCACCCCTCACCCCCAAATAGTTGATTGTACTCCTTCTGAGCCCCCGCGGCCATTGCTCCTCCCCCACATTTTTATGTCCTTTCTTTCCCTGGCATGTCCAGCATGGCGTGCATTTTTCCAAGCTTGGCTGCTTGATCGCTCCGCACGGCCTGCGGGCGGCAATGCGACCTGCCCCACTGGCAGCGCTGACCGCCTGGTTGCAGGCCCCAATGCCCGGCATGCATCTTCCGCGGGCACTTGCCCGAGGGACCTGGCTCACTGCCACCCCTGACGCTTCTGCGGAATGATATTGGTGTTGTCCCCCAACTGCCCTGTTAATACCGGTAGCGTTCCATGATCAGGAAGGGGGCAGGAGCAGGGTCTCCAGGAGGGCGGCCGTGGTGACCGGGCCGCGCCTCGCCAGGTGGCGGTGCAGGGTGAAGACCTGGTGACGAGTCAGACTGGTGCGCTGGGTCAGCACGCCTGCCAGCTCCTCCACACTGAGCACGCCGTGCAGGGGCAGGGCAGCCCTCAGCTGCTGCACCAGCTTCCCATCTGACGAGAGGGGAGGCAGGAAGGGGACGGTGCGGTTGGATCCTCGAACTGGATTCATGCCAAACTATTGGGAAATGGGGGGATATTTCACAGGTGGTGGGGCGTGGCATGCAACTGCGCCGACCCATTGCTGGTGTCGCGCTGCCGCGTGTGAGGCCATGAATACCCAGGCAAGCCACACATCTGGAGGCTTGCACCTTGATAGGGGTCCCCCATATGACTGGCACATTTCCCTCTGTGGAAATGGCAGCAGCACTCAGCCCCTGCCTCAGCGTCACAGCCACCTCCCACCTGAGAGGGCCTGCCCCAGGGTCGTAAGCGCGTCACCCAGGCGAGCCATGGGGTGCGCCGCCAGCTCCATGTGCTGCAGCGTGAAGTTATCGGCGGCCAGGAGCTCGAAGCGCCGCCCCGCCAGCGGGATGACTGCGCCCACCCAGATGTCCTTCTCGGAGATGAGTGTCTGCGAGGGCAAGAGGTGGTAGCTGGACAGCCGGGCATGGAGCGGGTGGGGCGCCCCGCATGCTGGCGTCCTGGAGCTAACCGTTCCCCGGCCGCCCTTTCTCACCGCAGTTTGGCCGGGGACCCAATATGCCCTGGTCCGCTCCAGGAACTTGCTGCCCGCCCCCCCAGCAGCCGCCGCGGGCGGCTCAAACACGGAGAGGGTGTCATCCGCGGCAAAGAAGGAGATCACGAACCTGCGGGGCCTGTGGAGCGATGAGAACGGGTTAGGGAGAGGGTCTGGCCCCATGTACTCAGCACATGCCAGGAGGGGCAAGTGGGGTCACTCTTTGGCCATGCATGTGGGCAAAGGAGGGAACTGTGTCCTTGCACGCGGTGAGCCGAGATAAACTTGAGAGCTGTGTGTGTGCAGTAATGAGGAAGGGAAGGGGGGGGGTTGAAAGGGCATGCACAAGCACTTGTTACTACATTCTTTCCCACCGCAATTTCCCCCTGCCTTCTCCAAGCCTCCACCCACTCGTCGATCTCGGACACGGGCGGGGCAAAACAGGCCTGGAACCTAAGGATGATGCCCCCGCTGTTCATGAGCTTGTACTGGTCGCGTTTGGGAGGGGTCGGGACCTGGGCGTGCGCGCGGTGTTGGGGGGGGGGGGAGGCGGCGGCTCTGGGTACTCATCTTGCCGCCGGCACACATTGCTGGAGCCATGCACAGCGCCCCGTTCCAGCCTGCCCGCAGGCCCACCTCCAGCGCTCACCAGGCGCAGGCAACTCTGCAGGGAATCCTCCGGGTCCCCGATCCTGTTGTGCGGCGGCGGCGGCGGCGGCAGGGGCTTCGCCGGCGGCGGCGAGGGAAGCCGCACCGGCTGCAGGTCCGCCTCACTTGCGCCAGCATGCTCCTTTGCGACAGGATCATGTGGATTGGTGAGCTGGTTGCTGGGGTGCGGCCAGGCAGTGAAGCAGTGACCCACACATCACTGTATCCACAGAAAGCCTCCAACATCAACATTTCTCCCCTCCCCTCCAAGGGAGAGGACACCGCGGTGTATCTTAGGGCTTGCCTTGAGCCAGGTCTTGGTGTAGGCGTCGGCATCTCGCAGCAGGATTGGCCTGCCATGCACGACCACCTCGCGGCCGATCCCAAGGTCCTGGGTGGTCAGGCTGAGTGGCAGCAGTGCTCCCCCGAGGCAGGCCACCCCCTCGCCCTTGCTCCCCGCCTGCAAGGGCCAGGAGACTCAGGTGGGCGCTTGAGGGTGAGGCAGGTGCACAGCATGCACAGAGTGCAGCGCTGGCCAGACGCCCCAACCCAGACTGCACCGGCGCCCCCATGCCAAGCTACCGACCCTTCCCGGGCTCACCGGTGTGCGTCGCAGGAAGACATGGTTTCCAGCTTCACCCTCCTCCACGATCTCCACCTGAGCCACGGCAAGGGGGGCAGGAGAACTATAACGCCGCGATCAGCCAGGTCACGACGCACTCGACTCAAGCACACCAGCAACTGCATGCAGCCTTTCCAGAGCCTTGGCATGACCAGGACCCCTGTCCCCACCGCACACATTGCAACCGTACTTCGACCCCGGGCTCGCACCGTGTCATCCTCGAGATAGTAGCGGAGCTGCAGGCGGTGAACGTCCCCACACAGCCTGCCCGTATCATTCCACACCGCGAAGAAGCGGAGGACCTGGGCTGGGCATGGGGGTGCAGAGGATGGAGAAGGCATGCAAAGGTGTCAGTCCAGGGGCCCAGCCGCATGCTGGGGCCAAGGGCACCAGCTCCTGGGGAGCTGAAAAGTCAGCCTCATCCAGTCTGGTAGCCCCGCACCTGGTTGCTGAACTTTAGAAACTGCTGTGTGTGTCTGGAAGGGGCAGCCTTCCCCAGCGCAACCTCGGCATACCGGGTGGGCGACTCTGCCGGGGCCTCACGCCGGTCTGCACAGGGTGGCAGGCAGAGGCGTGGGCCGGCCTCCGTCCAGCACACGTCTTGGCAAGGTGGCCTGGCCCCAGCACAGGACGGTCCCATCAGCACCACACACACCTGTCGAGCCGGGGCGCGACACTGCCCCACCGTCGGTTGGCGCCTCGGGCAGGGCAAGGTCCTCGCCCAAGTGCAGGCCTCGATCGGAGAAGAAAGTGCGGGTGTAGGTATCCGCAGAACACAGGTGGTACTGTGTTTTCCGAACACAGATCGTGCTCCCAATGCTGAAGTCCTCCAGGCCAAGACCACATCTGTGCCGAGCCACCAGGGTTCCCTGCAAGTGAGCAGGGAGCGATTACAGGCTGGGGGGCGGCCTGGCTTCAGCTTGTGCCACACCTGCACCCTTGAGAGCAGCGCAGGGGCCATCTTTGCCACCTCGCAATGATGTACCACCCACCACACCACACCGCCAAACCTGCATGAGTCCCGAGTTGGGGAGGCGAGGCTCGGCAATGGCCAGACTGCAATCCTCCGGCCAGAAGCTGACGACTGCCTTGCGTATGTACTCCCCCTCATCCAGGATGCCGGGCAGGACCTCCTTAAACCATGCCAAGAAGCGCAGCACGCAGTGCTCGTACTGAACGAACGCCGGGACAAAAGGCCGGGTCGCCTGGCTGAGCTCGATCCGTGAGGGTGCAGGAGGGAAAGCGACATGGTCGGCGGGCCCACATGCCGGCTTGAGCGATGCCACGGGAACGTCAGCCACAGCGTATCCGTTCTTGAATGACAAGGTCTGGGTGCGAGGATACCGGGCGTCCAAGGGAACCTGTCCGATGAGGGGCCCATGTGCACATGTCAGGTCAGAGGTCGGCACTTTAAAACCTCGCGCCAGGAGCGACACACTCACCGGCTCTCGAACCGTGTATCCTGGTAGAAATGGAATGCCAGAGTGGGCGATGCCTCCTCCCTCACGCGACATTGTCACGGTGGGTCAGTCGTCGTGACCTCGAGCACTACTACATTTCTTGCGAAGGAATGTCCTTGTTTTATACTTGAATTAATTAATGGATGTATGTTATTATTTTCATGATGCTGAGCCCGGTCGCAGTCCACTGCGAGGGTTTCGTAGTGGACATCGGACCTCAAGATCGTCTGCCTTCAAAGGCGACGCACCCACCCATACCCACCCATGATCGGACACCGTGATGACCTTACATGCTCTGAAGCAGAGCCTTCTGAGATCAGAATATCAATCAGTGTGCCTGGGACTCTACATGCTTCTTGTACGCATTGGCATCCAGAAGGGAGTCGGCCTCGGAGGGGTCGCTGAGCTTGATCTTGGCCAGCCAGCCACCCTCAAAGGGCTCCGCATTGATCTGCAGGGGCAGCAGCAGCGGGTGACAGGAATCAAAGACAAGGATAAAGACGGTCTCCATTGCGCATTATTTTACTCATCCATTGTTTCATTGAGGAGGTAACAGGCAAATCAGCCCCCCTTCCCCTGGCCATGCGCCCCACCTTGGCGGGGTCATCCACCAGGGCAGAGTTGACCTCGATCACCTCGCCACTGAGGGGAGAGTAGATGTCGCTGGCCGCCTGTGGGAAGGGTCCAAAGAAAGGTTGAGAGGTGGGTCAGAGAATAACACTGGGGCGCGCAGGCTAGGAGTCCCCGGCACATGACGTTCATGTGTTCGCACCTTGACGGACTCCACGACACCCAGGTTGGCTCCCTTGGACAGGCTGGCGCCCACCTCGGGGACCTCGACGTAAACAACATCTCCCAGCTCGCTCTGAATTGATATTGGTGGAGGGGGGGCCTTCGGTGCCCCGGTACCTCCTGGCACTGAGAGGCAGAGGTGATCATCCCCATCCCGATCCACGGGACGCTTCATGTCAGGTGCAGACCTCATCATCAGAGCCTCAAAAGGGTCCACATGTCCGTACCTGGGCGAAGTCGGTGATGCCCAGAGTGGCAACATCGCCCTCGATCTTGGCGTACTCGTGGCTCTCGGCATACTTCAGGCCATCGATGACTGGGGCGGGGGCACGGAACGCGGAATTGGTACCGGGTACGGAGGTGTAGCAGGCGGCAAAGCGCAGCTTACCCTACCACAACTTCACTAAACGACTCACGCATGGCCTCACCCGTGGAGTACGACCGGAAAAGGGCAGCCTGCAGCAACCCCACAGGGGACTGGGTGAGGGCCAGGCTCGGCGCGGTGCACCGAAGGCCGAGACCGCTCGCGGCCTGGGATGCCAGCTGCCGAAGAGCCATGCTGGACGGTTGGGAGTACAGATCTGGGAGTCGTGTGGATGATGGTGTGCCTGGCCGGGTGCACACCGGCGCCCCTAAGACGCTGTCTTCTGATGGTAGGGAAACCGAGAGGCGCGCTCGCGCTTTCCATCCAGATTCCCAAAATTGTTCGCAAAATAAGGACATACCTGTCCCGCTCCATCCCGGACCCCACTCTCAGCAGCATGCCTGACGAGCCCTTAGAATCCGGCTGGTTCTACGCCACAGTGCCGCGGAGTGGCGGCCTCCCGGCCTTCCTGTCGTTCGGGAGGGGGAGCCTGGAGAAGACGACGCAGAGCCGAATAGGCACCCTCCTCAGGTGGGGCCATGACCTGACCCATGCGATCCTGTTCCTGGTTTGACATGCATATGAAGCCTTGCCCCCTTGGTCCCCAACCCAATTCCCGGACACGTCTCATCACACTCGCGCCCCACCAGGTCCGCCCCCGCGCCTCCGCCGGTGCATGCATTGAGGGGCCAGACCTTCAACCCCTCTCCCGAGGTCTACCGCTTTGGCGCCGGCACGGCCATCGTGGTGTGCCAGTCCCCCTCCCCGGGCTCCGGCCCCGGCCCCGCCTACCAGGAGCCGGCCCTGGCCTCCGACCCCACCGGCCTCTGCATCCTGGCCCCCGGCTCCTACATCTCCAACCTGGAGGAGCTGGCGGAGCGGTACGAGGACGCCCCCGCGCCCCGCGGCGCGCCCCAGGACCCGCGCGCCGCGGCGGCGGCCCTCGTCCTGCGCCTCTACGCCCGCGACCCCGACCCCCTCCTCGTCCTGTCCGAGCTCCAGGGCGAGTACGCCTTCCTGCTGTACGACGCGGAGCGGCGCACGGCCTTCGCGGCGCGCGACGCCTCGGGCGCGCTGCCCCTGCACTACGAGATCGACGCCGACGGCGGCGTCAGCGTGGCCAGCGCGCCGCTCCCCGTCCCCGCCGAGGTGGGCCTGACGCACTGGGAGGTGGTGCCCCCGGGCCACTTCCTGGCGGGGCGCAGCCCCCGCCTGCACCAGTTCGCGCTCACCCAGGACCAGCTGGCGGCGCGGGAGGCGCTGGAGGTCAGCCTGGAGGAGGAGTGCGTGTCACCGCGCGCCTCGCGTGCTTCCCTGGACTGGCAGAGCTCCCAGCAACTGGCCTTTTGAAGGGAGCCTGGAGCCCTGGGTTGCGGGACGTACGCGTCACAGGCTTGGCCCAGGGGTAGGTGCATGCATACCTGCCTGCAGGAGCGGGCTCGAGAGCCGGCCCTTACATTCTTCACTTGCCCCCCCATGATTCATGTGCGCCCCCACATCGTGCATTTGACCCATCACCTCACCCGTGTACACTAGGCGTCCACATGGTACATAGCAGTGCATTCCAAGTCATGAAAAGAGGCGGCGGCATTCCTCAGCCGCGGGAGCAGAGAGTCAAGGTACATGGACGGTGCAGGGAGGGGTTTCAAAGTCCCGGCCGGAACAAGAACAATAGTGGCACAGTGCCTTTGGGGAAGGGGGGGGGAGGGGACAGGAGGCCCATGCCATGCACGGGCGCTGGGAGCAACGGGGCCTAGCTGGTCGGGGAAAGGGCAGGCGAGAGACTCGAGCGGGAACACTGGGAGGCCATGGGATTCTGCACTGGAAGCATGGGGATGGCTGCTTCACCGACGTGCGCCGCGCCGTCTCACGCCTCCTCCTCGCCCTCCCGGATGGCCTCGGCCGAGATGGCCAGGGCGCCCGCCAGCGAGCTCTTTGCCCTGCGTGATGTATGCAGGGCGTGGTGTGTGGTGGCGCGTAGGGTGGTCGGGATGCATGCGCGAGGGGCAGAGGCCTCTCGCGGGAAGGCATGGGATCGGCAAGACCCCCCACCCCCCAACGACGACGCACCTCACGGCGATGAGCTCGGTGACAAAGCGCTCCAGCTTGGCCACGGTGATGTTGGGCATGACGACGACGTGCGCGATGTCGCCCTGGCAGGCCAGCTGCCAGCGGCGCACAAAGTCCTCGTCGGCGGGGCGCTCGAACACGACGGTGGAGGACAGCTCGTTCAGGCTGGTCACCACCCCGGCCCGCTCCAGCATGGACCGGAGCAGGTGCGCGTTGCGCAGGCAGCGCTCCACGTCCTTGCGCAGGCCCTCGTAGCCCTTGCGCGTGAAGGTGTACCACATGTAGATGGGGGCGTGCCCGTTGCGCGACCCCATGATGGTGGCGTCGCGGGAGTTCAGGTACTCCACGTCTGGGAGGGAGGTGCGGCGGGGATGGGGCGGGTGGTGTTCAGGGTGTGTAAAGGTGAGGGACGGGGGGGATTCAGCTTCTGGAGTCCTCAGGAACCAGGGCAAGGCCCCTGAAGCCCCTCGTCCAGTTGACAACAGCATTTGAATGGCCCACCAACAAGGTGCAGGGGCAAGGATACTGTGCACATGAGGTGTGCGTCGCGAATGAGGACCGGTGGGCGTGGTTTGAAAGAACACGACATCCCGGCCAGACAAAGCGGCCCTGTTTCCTGTGCGCAGCGTAGAGTCACATCCCAGCCACGACGCAGGGCGGCCCCTGAAGAAAGGGTCACCGCCCCGGCTCGGCTTGGCATGCCGGCTTATGTACTGCGCATCCCTCCCCATGCACGGGAATCCCCTTGGGCCGAGCCCTGGAGGCCAGACGCCCCGGGGTCAACAGGCTCCCCCTCTGAAAGTTCCCCCCATCCAACCCCTGGAGAGGAAGTCCCAATCCACGCCACCCCCTGGCCTACGCGCCGCACCTGTGGACAGTGCCTGGATGTGCTTCAGGCGGGTCATGACCACGCCACAAGGCACAGGCGCGCCCACGAACTTGTGCCCCGACACCGACACGCTCCCGATGGGCTTCTTGAAGGTCACCATGGGCGCCCGCTTGACAAAGGGGATCTGCAGAATGTTGTGGGTGGGTGGGGCCGGGGGGCCGGAGGGAACATACAGGTGTATGCACACGCAAGCATCATCGTCAGCGACCTCCGCCCGTGCTGCCCTGCTGCCGTCAGTGCCTGGTTCAACATCCCCTACACACCTTTACACACCCCTGCAATCTGCCCATCCCTCCCTGGGGTTTAGGCCCCTTCTCAATTCGCCCCCCAACCTCTCCCTTATCCCCCTCAGCGACACCCCCAACCCCCCCCCAAAAAACCTCACCATCATGCCGAAGAGCGCGCCGTCGCAGTGGATGTAAAACCTGTCCTCGCCGAAGCCCAGGTCGGCCAGGATGGCCAGCACACGGTCGACGTCGTCCACCGCGCCGCGCACGGTGGTGCCGATGTTCAGGTTCAGGATGGCGGGCTTGTCCGCGTTGGCGGCCAGGCATGCGCGGAGGTGGTCGTAGTCGATCTCCCCCGTGCCCAGCACGCCCACCTTGACCGCCTCCATGCGGTACATGCGCGCGGCCTTGAAGACGGAGTAGTGCGACTCCGCGGAGCTGTACAGCACGCCGTCGGGCAGCGTCTCGCGGCCCACCAGGATGCCGTGCAGGTTGCCCTCCGTCCCGCAGTTGGTCACGTATCCCCAGAACTCATCCTCCTCGATCTCCCACAGCCGCGCAAACCACTGGAGCACGCCGATCTCGAACTCGCGGCTGTGCACGCCATAGTTTGACTCGATGAAGGGGTCGCCCAGGTTGTTGATGCAGAACTTCTGCAGGCCCTCCAGCGGGCCGTAGTCAAAGTCCAGGTTGTACGGATACCTGGTTGTGTTAGGTCAGGGGGGGGAGGATTTGATGTGAGATGATGGAGTCAAGGGAGGGGCTTGGAACAGCGTGTGCGGGGGAAGGGTAGGCAGGACAGGGTCAGGTGCTGAGGCACGGTGAGCGGTGCTGCCTTGGGGAGGACCCACCCCAGCTCCTCGTGATTCCTTTCATGAAACTGCCCAGCTCAACACGATGGACCCAACAGCACCCGGCAACTGCATGCACCCGTCTGCAGCCCAGCACAGCTTCATACATCATGCCGACGCACCCCATGTGGTGATCCGTGCGGTCCTCCAGCTTCTGTCGGTAGTCCTCGATGACCTGTCGCACCCGGGCCTCCAGCTCCTGCGGGGAGCCGCTCGGGACGGACGTCACACCGTGTGCCCTGATCGCATTGGCCCTCCAACCTCCCAGTAAACCCCTCGCACCTCCTGGCCCAGCTCCCCGACCTCCATGACCGGCAGGGCAGCGGTGAGGTTGTGCGTGATGACGGCGGAGGTCACAGGCCTGGCCTGGTATGGCACGGTGGGCTCATCTGGTTGCCGGGAGGTGACCGAGGTGCTGCTTGCTTTCCGGAGCTTGGAGGGGCTCCGATCGGTGCCAGCGGGCTGGCCGACGGGGGTGGGCAGGGTGCCGCTGGAGGACAGCGCCACCACAACCTGTCCCAGGGTGTCAGCCATGATGCAGAAATGCAAAGTCGCTGGTTGCAATGGATCACATGTACAGTGGGGGGGGGTCGGCTGTACATGATGATCGCAGAGGTTCCCCGGGGGAGCGTCAGGACGTAGAAGAAAGTCAGACGCGGTAACAGCTTTAAATGGTACGATTCTCCTGCAACAGAAACTTCTATCCAAGTCCACCCTCCCTCCGGCGAGGCTACTGGACTGTCCTCCACTGCATTGCAACATGCATAACGAGGACATTCATTAGCAAGTCAATGTGTTCCAAGGTGCAGGAAGGGGCCACATGCTTCAGATGCACGCACCCGAGTGCCAGGCATCCTGTGGAGGACTGGGATGTGGCCCAATGTTTGACTTTGCCCCATGAGTGATTTGAGTTGCGTGGCAGATACTCCAGGTTGACAGGCAGGGGCATGCCTCAGAAGCTTCCATGCATACTTTGGTGCAGCGAGAGCTAGCCACGGAGCCTGTCTTTGTGCAGTTTTTTACGTATTTCGGCAACATCTCTGGATGTACGTAAGACACGCAGGTAAATGCGCGTGTTGCGCTGTACCGTATGTTGGCCCTGGGAGTGGGTCCAGAGCTGGTGGCCCGGCGCGTCCGTTTCAGCAAGCGAAGCCTGCGCACGAGACGGAGAGTTTCCCTCAGTCCAAAGATCACAGTGACAAGAGAACGGGCGTAAGAGTGTAAGGAAACGACCAACAGGTCTCGCCAATTAATCATGGAGGCCAACCCCAAATCCTCTTTCCATTCGCGGTATCAACGGAACGCAAGGGGCATACATACACCATTATCGGATCGAACACGGATCTTTCACAAGTAATTTCTGAACCCAACAAGGTGTATGTCGTTATGAGGGCAGGACAAATATTCTGTGTTCAGGCCACGCATCGCACAGGTACGGAAAATTTTCTGGGAGATTGCGTGCAGCCTGGTTCCCCATGTACTCATCGAACTATCGGACAATTTCAAGCGCCCTTGCGTCTCATACACACCCCCCGGTCGCAATCCCTTCTATCCGCATTTTGCACACATCGATGTCGTTGCCTTGAGGCAGCTACGGATCCTTCCACCACCATTTGACCCTGGGATCCGTGTCGGACTTTTCGATGTCTGCTGCTGGGGCCCCTGCTGGTCTGACAGGCTGCTAGTGAGCTCGACCAGGTAAGGAGGGAATGCGGTGGAAGATGCACATTTGGAAAGCCGAGATCTTTGCTTTGATTCGCACCACCCGCGGCCCGTCGCCGTCTGACGCAGCTTCTTATTGGGTGCGAGAACCTGCACGTATCTCGGCCGATTTTGTCCTCCGATTCCCCGTCGGGCGGAAAGATATTTGGCCGCGCGAGTCTGTCGAAGAAAAGTATAGAAGCACCCGTCCGCGAACTGGATCTCCACTCTCGTAGTCTACACGCAATGCTCAAACGTTCCGTCCAGTGGGCCAGTCCTCTCATTAGCGACACCTTCGTTATGCCCGGCCAGACCTCAGGAGCTCCACGGACCTTGGTAGCTGCATATCAGGGCCAAGACAGGCTAGGAATGCCCTCCATAGGCCTCTCCGCACGCGCAGCCTCAGGTAATCGGCGCTTTCGCGACATGTACACACACGCGGCAGGGGCCGATGAATTGTTTTGGTAGGGACGGCGCACGCGATTACCCTCTGACCTAGCTCGTTTACCTCCTTGCAGCGTTCATCCTGCCGAGGCCTGCGTCCGAGACTCTGAAGGGAGTGAACCTGTCACCGGCCCCGGACGTGGACGTCACGAGCCCCCCCGGGGTTTCGCCCGCGAATTCCCCGACCTCGGTCAGCAGCTCTGACGACTTCCTGGCCTGTGGGCTGTTGGCAGAGGAGCTCGCCGACCTGCACGAGCTCGAACGTACGTTATCGAGTTCGAAGACTGTCAGCATGAGCATCCAGGTGGGGTCCTGCTAAATGCGGGGTCTGTCCCTGCATGGAGCACTGTGTGCACATTACAAAGTAGGTCGTACTTTGCTCACGACCACCATCCCTCCCCTTCCTTTGCAGGTGGATCGCCATGCGTTCAAGTAGGCTAGATAGACAAGGCCACCAGGCAATCCACACGGGCAGTTCTGCCCTTTTCCCCGGTCTTCCTCCTTGAGGGTGGTCACCCTTCAATGCATCTCTTCTCGCAGTTGCCTTCAAAACAGGCTGGGACATGCCTGCACATCACGGCATACAATGAACATATCATCAGGCTCTCCACCTTGCCTCAGCACTGTGCTTGCAAACCTCACCGAACCTCCCTTGTCGGATGTTGGTTGTCTTAGATAGTTACCTGTTTTCTTACATGCGCCTCACCCTGTGGACTACAGTGTTGTGCACAGTTTTATGTGGCCTTGAGTGCCTCAATACTATGTAAATAAGCACTGTAGAAGTGAGTGAAGGGGACATCGTGGCAGGTTAAGAGGAAGGGAACCCAGGTTGATACGAGGACGCGGAGCGAGCGCGAGCAGAGATTGCCGAGAGTAGAGCAGCGAGATAACCGGTCCGTCCGAGCTGGCAGAGTCAATAAATAAGCCAGCCAGCCGACGTATCATCTTCATACGTGGTCAAGATGTCGAAATGTCCTGGCGCAGGCTCGTTGATTCGAACGACGGAGTATGGTTGCTGAGCAGGGCTGTCCACCCCTGTCACATGAGACGCATCCACCCAGGAGCTCGATCGAGCGCAGGGCGAGGTCCCCGTACAGCGATGCCACGCTGCGGGATGAGGAATGCATCTGCAGTTCCAATGAGTCGCCCGGAACGAGCTGGAGCTCACAGGGCAGCCCTGTGCAGAGCCAAGGCAAGAGCAGGCTCCTGGCTGTCACGTTGCAAGGCACGGTCCGGGGTATACATTGTATCCTTCGAACTGAACCTCAAAAAGTCGCACGCACTGTGGCTTTGATGCAGAGAACAATGAGGTGAGGCCGCCCAATGCGCACCTGGGCCCGAACCCGGCAGTAGAGCCGGATGGCACGGGTGATGCACGCTCCAGCGCGGCGTGCCAAGTATGCGGCGCCCCGCTGGAGCACATGCACTTCCTGGAGCAGGTTTCGCACGTCAAGCGCTGCATGGGGGGCCGCAGGGCTGCGAGGAGGTCCGCGGCAGCGGGGCCCCGTCGCCAGGCGAGTGCGCCTGCTCCTCCCCGCAGCCTGCCAGACGTGCTCAAGGTACGCGGCGCGGGGCTGAGGCCGGCAGGAGCATTGCATTGATCAAGGACCCCCTCCCCTTGCTCATGATGGCACAGACCTCTCGACCCAGATCGGTACAGAGTCTCATGCACATGTGGGCCCCAACTCACCGCAGGCGGCCGGCCTGTCGGAGCACGCGCCCGCGTTCCAGCGGGCAGAGGTCATGGTCGACATCCTGCACACCCTCTCCGACGCTGAGCTGGCGGAGTTGGGGATCACGCAGGCCGGCGCCAGGCAGCGCCTCCTCGGCTCGCTGACGTGCCGGCCGGCGCCGGCTCCGGTGCCCGGGTCCAAGGCCCCGCGCCCCCTGCGCCAGGTCCTGCTGCCCATTCAGCTCCCCTGGAACTCCCCCGCCCCCAGCGCAGCCTGGCTGCCGTGTGCTGACCCTGTTCGCGACCGCAGCCCTGCGCCGCCGGAGGCCTCGGGCCGCGCCTGGGAGGCGGCGGCCCTCTCGCCCCTGCGCCGCCGGGCTCCCCGTGCCAGACCAATCGCCGGCCCGGCGTCCCCGCCCCGCCGGCGGGCGCGTCTGGCTTGCCTGGGTCCAGGGACACAGCTCCCCCCGGGGTCGCGCCTGGTGTCCCCGCCCCGCACGCTGTGGCACGCTGCGGGGACGTGCGCAGCGCGCGGCGCGGGCCCCTCAGCCTCCGAGAGGCTGGCGCGCCAAGAGGCGGCAGCCGGCGCCGCCGCCGGCCCCGCCCCGGCGGACCAGCTGAACCGCGGCGGGCGGGTGTTTGCCGCGCCGGGCCCGGGCGCCGAGCCGCGCGGCGCCAAGCTGGTGAAGCTGCAGGCTCTGCGGTCCGAGCTGGAGCACCACCGTGCCACGGTCCGGGACCTGGAGGCACTGGTGGCCGGCCTGGAGGCCGAGCTGGAGGGCGGCGGGTACTGAGCTGGCAGCGTGTGTTTTGGGAGGGGCACGGGGTGGAGAGCGCGCCGGCCAATGTCTCACTTGCTCCAACATGGTGAGGCATGACGCAATCACCATCAAAAAGACCCGCCGACATGATTGCACCATGAGGGTTTCGTGTTAACATTGCAGCGCATCACACGAGGAGCAATGAAGACATGTGCACGGCGCCATGGGCACCAGAAACGGAAGGTTGCAAGGATGGCCATCGACCAACCGTCACCGATCAGGTCAGAGCAGGCAGTCGGCGATGGCGGCGCGCATGCGCTCCCGTGGCACTGGCGCCGGCCGATCCGCTAGCGGCTCCTCTCCCTGCTCCGCCGCCAGCGCGGCAAAGGCGCCGAGCAGCGCGGCGGTCGTGCCCTCGTCCGGATCGTGGTTCCTCCCGAGTCCAAGCCCCAGCACCCCGACGCGGCAGGCGGCGCAGGTCCGCGCCAGGGCCTCGGCGGCGGGGACGGGGAGGCGCGAAGCTTCAGGCACCGCCCCGTCGCGACCGGGCCCGTCGCGCGGCCCGCGCGGGTTGAGGCACAGCGGGCACAGCGTGGTTCCCCGGTCCTGCGCCCGACCCGTCTGTGTGTCCACGCCCCCTGCCCGCCCGGCCTCGCTCCAGTCGAAGGCCTGCAGGCGGTCCAGCACGCTCATCACGTTGCTGGCGGCCGACGGGTTGGCGGCCAGCAGCGCCAGCGCAAAGTCCTCGGCCAGCAGGTTGATGCTGCGCGCGCCACGCCGGCCGGCCAAGTAGCGCTGGGGGGCGCGGGCGGGGACGGGGAGGGCCAGGAGATGCGCGCAGGCCGCCAGCTCCCGCGTGGACGTGTCGCGGAAGGGGCGGAAGAAAAAGGGTAGCGCGGGCCCGTGGCTGATGGAGTGAGCGGGTGGGAGTATGGGGTTCTCAAGGGAAGAGTGCAGAAAAGGGGAAGCCGAGCGTTGGCGACCTCCTGGGGCACTCCCAAGCAGGGGCTGGCCAGCCCCCGCCTCATAGCGCCCTGGCTGGCGCGCAAAACATGCAGCCCGGCACACCCGCCACCAATGAAAACGCAAGAAATATTACCCCCCGCACACACACCCTCACCGCGCGTCGACGAGGCGCGCGCCGGCCGCGACGCCGTGGCCTCGGCCCTTGCAGGCCTCAGCCAGCGCGTGGGCCGCCAGGCGCGTGCTGCTGCAGCCCAGGGCCAGGCTGCGCGCCCCCAGCGCGCGCGCGGTGCGGAGGAGCAGCCGCGTGCGCAGCGCGCGCAGCGTGTCGTCGCGTGCCGTCGCGTCGGCCACCGAGTCCAGCAGTGCGCGGAGGCGTCCTGCGCCGGCCGCCGTGTTGGGTTCGGTCCCGCTGTGTGAGCCGCCGTCCAACAGCACTGCATGCAGGGGGACGGCGTGGAAGGCGACCCCGGCGTCGGTGCAGTAGCCGCCCACCGCCGCTGCATGCGCCGAGGGGCCGGGCCCGCTTTCCTCAACATTCTCGGAGTGAGCGGCCCGCTCGTCAATGTGCACCACGTGCAGCGTGAAGGGCACCTGTCGGAGCGAGGGACATGGAGTACGGTTGAGCCGGTGGGCCTTGCGGCCGGGAGCTGGGGATGAAAGACGAGGCCGACCGATTGTCCTGGCCATCGTGTGCTGAGCCGGAAGGAGGTTGCCCAGCGGCCTCAACCCCCAAGTTCCGTCCTCCCACTCGAGCACCCTTTCCTACACACCTTGCGCTTCTCTGGGTGCTTGAGGTTGAGGGAGCGCATGGCGGCGAGGAGGTGGAGGAGCAGGGCGGAGGCATGGCCCCCAGAGTAGGCGAGCACCACCGTGTCCCCCGGGCGGATGAGGGCGTGGGAGCGGATGGCAGAGCGGGCCTTTGCGGAGATGCTGTCGTGCAGGCAGGGGCTGCACAGGGGCTCATGCTGGCGCACCACCACCTGGTGCAGGGTGCGATTTGAATGGTGAGATCGTGTGGGATCAATGCTGTGCTGCCGTTCCACCACACCATTCCCAGTATCAGACAGAGAGGGGGCCTGCATGCCACATGCATGCAAGCCTCCGCCATGGTGCCCAAATGTGCACCCTGCATTGCCTAATTTTCCTCACCTGCGCTGGCCGATCCCGACATTTGCGACAGAGCCTGATGTTTGTAGCCTTCTTGGCGATTCCCGAGGTCTCGGGCCGGCAGCATGCGCTGGTGTGAGGAGTGTGACAGGTCTGGCAGCCGGGAACCTGCTCGCGAGACAAAGTGCAGCCACTGTCCGCAATCATGTTGGGATTTTGAGTATTTAGACGCAACATTAGATGAGCATATATTATGCTGTTAGTCTGTGTGGCATCGTGGGTGGGATTCCTGCCGGTCCTTGCGCCCAAACTCGAGCAGCCCGGGGCGGAAGCTCTCCCGAGGGAGGACTTCAATGCCCTGCCGCTGGCCGTCCCCAGCCCCATTCCTGGAGATCGACGACCTTGAACCGCTGTTCGACAAGGTTACGTCTGATCCGCGACAAGAACACCATTCTAGCCTGGCTATCGGACCGCAGCATATCGGCGGAAGAGTGGGCCAGTGGCCGGGTCCTCGCAAAGACAGGGCACCATGAATATCTTCAGGCTGGCGGGGGACATGACTCATCTGATGAGCATCGTGGTCCTGCTGCTCAAGATCAGAGCCACCAAGTCATGCCGAGGTGAGCTGCCTGCTCAGCTGTCGGGTCCGATCTCTGCGGCCAGGCAACACAACCGATCCTTCTCCTCACCCCTCCCGTGCGCACAGGCATATCCCTGAGGACCCAGGAAATGTACCTCCTCGTGTTCCTGTGTCGCTACCTGGACCTCTTCTACTCCTTCGTCTCCCTGTGAGCACCTATACGTGCAGGGGCGATGGACAGGGGGCTGGAAGGCTCACATCCCAGCACCAACCCCGACTGTCAAGCCCCACACCCCCTTGCCGCCTGATTGATGTACCAGGATCCTCCCCTCCTTGCTCTCCACCCTCAGATACAACACGGTGATGAAGCTCATCTTCCTGGCCTCCTCGGCGGCCATTGTGTACTACATGCGGTATGACCGGGTGGTCAAGCAGACGTATGATCGGCGCCAGGACACCTTCCGCTACCTCTTCCTCATCGTGCCGTGCCTGATCCTTGCCCTGCTCATCAACCACGCCTTCACGCTCACAGAGGTGGGACCTGGTTATGGAGCCACGATGGCCCTGCTCTGCCAGGCATGTCGCCACTGGACTCCCATCCACCATCTGCCATTCATCCTCTTCACACTCCTCACCTGACACAGATCTTGTGGACCTTCTCCATCTACCTGGAGGCCGTAGCAATCCTGCCCCAGTTGGTGCTGATGCAACGAACCCAGAACATTGACAACCTGACCGGAAACTATGTGCTACTGCTCGGGTGGGGGTGGATTTATGGGTGGAGAGGGAAGTGGAGAGCATCGAGCGGGTCACCGGAAGGTTGCTGTGTTCTCGATGGCGTCACAGCCTTTGGGACATGCATCATCTCCTTGCTCGTGCTGCGGCGCTTGGCGATAGGATGCTCACGGCATATACCACTCCCCTTCTGTGCACAGGACATACCGGGGCCTATACATCCTCAACTGGATCTTCCGGTTCTTCACAGAACCACACTACCGTCAGTGGCTGGGTGAGCCATCAGCCTCGGGTTCAGGGGGGCATGAGCTGGCTGTTGTACTCGCATTTGGGCACGGCTGTTGTGTAGCATGATTTGGCCGTCACGAACGCCACTCCCCACCGTACACCCCACAGTATGGATAAGCGGGCTGCTGCAAACGGCGCTGTATGGTGACTTCTTCTATTATTATTTCAAGTGCTGGAAGAGCAATAAGAAGCTCACACTCCCTGCATGACTTAGTCTTCCCTTTTGTAAGCACTTGTCCCCAGGAGGGGTGGCTGTGAAGCAGGACTTGGCGGCACCCAACACCCCGATCAAGGTCCAATATGAACCGAGCTGTGGGCAAGTTCGCGCTCAGCGCTCATCTGCACCCGCTTACCAGTCTTAGCCGCATGCTGGGCGCACATCGTGAGAAACATACCGGAAAATCGACGGCACGGGCCTAGCAGGTACCCAACCTCCCGTCCGCCTCGCTCTCGCCATCGCACCCCCCACCCCTGCCTGCGTTGCGGTACCACCGCGATGCAGCTGATGGTCCCGCTAATCTGACCAGGGTCACCCTCTGATCTTTTCCTGCCGCCATACGGCCCGTCAGCCCCGTCTTCGCGGCCACACCCGGTCGACCCGTCGCCGGGGTGTCCCAGCATGCCGGGCCTCCCAGGGAGCGCAGCTGACCCCGCCCCGAGCCTGGCATCGCTACTAGCCAGAGATGGGTCCCTGGAGGCGTCGGTGCAGGCCGCCCTTGCCTCCCTCCCCTCCCTGGACCCGGAGCCCCGCACCGCCCCCTCCATGGCCGATGCCGTGGCCATGGTGCACGCCCGGGACGACGCCCGCAAGAAAGTCTCCTCCGGTCCCGCCCTGTCCAAGGCCAAGCGCGCGGCGCGCACCTCCTCCCTCCCCGTGGCGGAGGACCGCTTCCCCGGCGCGCGGCGCGGCGGCGGCGACCCCGCCGCCTTCTGGCTCTACGTGGAGGACTACTTCCGGGACGTCACCGCACACGACCTCGCCGCTCTGCTGCCCGCCGCCTGCCCCCGCCTGGACACCGACCCGCACCTGCTGGTGCCCCCGCTGGGCCCGCCGCCGACGCGGGGCCCTCAGCCACTGCCGCCCGCCGCCGCGCCGGCCGCAGAACCGGCCCCAACCCCCGCGAGCAAGTCGGCGCTGGGCGCCGACGCCGCGGCGCCCGCCCCCACCGCCAGCGCCGAGCCGGGCAGCCCGGAGAGCTCGTCCCTGCTGGAGCGACGGAGCGTGCGCCTCGTCTCCCGCTTCCAGCGGGGGAGCGGCGCGGAGGAGGGCCCCGCCACGCCGGTGGTGCGGCAGCCCGGCCCGGGGTTGGGCGGGGCGCCGCCCGCGGTCGCCGCGCCGCCTGGCGCCGGGCTCACGCCCCTGCCCGGCACGGGCCTCCGGGTGCTGGCGGGGACCCCGCTGCCAACCGTGCAGGGCGAGGCGCCCGCGCCGGGATGCCTGCTGGAGAGCCTGTCTGATGGCGACGTGGCGCGGCTCATCCGCGGGGTGAGTGCGGCGGCCGAGAGGGGTCAGAGGCTTTCAGTGCCGTGCCGCTGCTGCTGTGCATCGCTGCCCAGGCTGCGCAGCTGAGGGGGGGCGCTGGTGTGTTTCAGCTCAAATTCCAACACACGACCATGGAGGAGAGCCTTTCCAGCTGCCTTCCCACTCAAACCTGACAGATGGCCATGTACCCCACCCTTGCGCTGCCTGGCCCTGAAGTGGAGGAAGGCGTCCTGGGGAGCCTGGAGGCGGAGCCACCGGCAGGCCTGGAGGGCGCCGAGGACGGCGCCGCAGGCGCGGAGGCGACAGACTCAGCGGCCACGGCCCCCGATCCAGGCGCCACCGCGCGCAGGACGGCCATCGAGTGGCTGCGCCGCCAGGCGCCGGGCGTCGCGGAGGGGAGTGGGGCCCTCGCCAGCGTGCCCTGGCCCTTTGGCGGGCCTGCAGATGCACCCGGCGCAGGGGCTCCGCAGGCGGCCGAGTCTTCCGGCGAGGCTGGCAAACCGGCGGCCGACCCTGCGACACCCCCGGCGTCCTCACTGCTGCCCTCCGGCGCGACGCGCCACCCCTACACACGCCTCCTGCTGCAGGCGCCCACCCCCGCCCACGTACAGGCCTCGGCCCACACCGTGCCAGCGCCCGACGGCGCAGGCGGGGGAGCACCGCAGGCTGCAGCACCCCTCTCCGGCAGCGCCAAGCCTGAGGCCGAGGAGGGCTCGGCCTCCGGGACCAGCACACCCTCAATGCGTCCCAGCAGCCCCGGGCCGGGCGACGGCGGGAGGGCACGGGGCGCGGCGGCCGCCGGCAAGCGGCAGGGGATGCGGGCTGGAGGCCTGGCCCGCGACGCGGCCGCAGGCGCTCCGAGCGCTGCGGCCGCGCTCGCCGCGGGCGGGGGTTCCACTGCCTCGCAGCCGGCTTCGCGCCCCGGCTCGGCGCTGGGGACCGCCGCCGCCGCGGCGCCGCAGCAGACGCCGGCCGCGGCCGCGGCGGTGGCCGCGTGCGTCGCGCGGGGGGCGCTGACCGTGGACCCCTGGAGCCAGGCCGCAGCGGCCGAGGTGCTGCTGGCGGCGGCGCCCCAGGACGAGCTGCTGGCGGAGCTCCTGGCCCTGCAGGTGGGTCCTGGGTGTGGGGGTGTGCTTTGGAGGTGGAAGGGGGGGGGTGGCCTGCTGCGTTTGTGGGTGGGGGGTCTTGGCCGTGGAGCTGGGTCTTGTCACGCATGTGTGGGATGGGATTGGGACGCAGCTACTCGGCCGGGGGGTGAAAGGGGATTGTCACCTGGCGCAAGCCGCTCGCCAAACTGCATCACCTCTTTGGAGGGGACTTCCCCCGATGCACACACTTGTGCTGGGCCACGGGGGTGTCGGAGTGAACAGTAAAACGCACCACACACCCTTCTCCCTCATTCCACCACCTGAAAGAGCGAGCTGCTGGTGCAGCGGGTCAGCAACGCCCACCGCGCGGCGGCGGCGGTGCGCGGCGCCCTGGCGGGGCTGGAGCAGCGCGGCCTTGGCCCGCGCCGCGGCCGCCGCCGAGGAGGAGCGCGTGCGCGCCGCGTTGGCCAAGGCGCGGGAGGAGCGCAACGCCGCCTCGCGTCAGCGTCGCGAGCGCGCGCACCGCGAGGCCATGGCCCAGAAGGCCGCGGTCCTGCTTTCCTCCCCGCGGCCCACACTGGGCCGGCGGCGGGCGGGGGCCAGCCAGGATGCGACCCCGGATGCCAAGGCGCAGCAGGACAGGGAGGCCGCCGGCGGCAAGGAGGAGGAGACCGGGCCGCTGCTGGGGCCCAACGTGAGCGGTTGCACGAGTGGGGTGCTTGGTGCTGCTGGGCCTCGTGAGGATGACGTTCCTGGGGCCGTGCGTCATGCCACACAGCGCCAGACCCCGGTGGCCTCTCACCCCACCCTGGTTCAGGAGATGTATGACGTCCTGGCGCAGCGCAGCGGCGAGGAGGAGGCCTACTGCGCCGTGTGTGGCGATGGCCACTCTGGTGAGTGAGACAGTTCCTGCTTTGGAGGATGGGGGGGAGGAGGGGAGGGACAGCAGGCGACAGGAGTCTGAGCTGCTTGGATGGCTATCCAAGCCGGCTTCGTGATGAGGCAGAGCGACAGGCTCTCCGCCTCATCACATTGATGCCAGCCAATGTCATAGAGAATCTTTACAACCACCGTTCCCCTTCACATCCCTCCCCCCCCCACTTCACCCTCCTTCAAACACTGCCCCCTCGCTCCCCCCCAAAAAACAAAAACCCTTGCGCAGAGTCGCCCAACGAGATCGTGTTCTGCGAGCGCTGCGCTTCAAACACTGCCCCCTCGCTCCCCCCCAAAAAACAAAAACCCTTGCGCAGAGTCGCCCAACGAGATCGTGTTCTGCGAGCGCTGCGACGTGGCGGTGCACCAGCGCTGCTACGACGTGGCAGAGCTCCCCGCCGGTGAGTGGCTGTGCGAGCCGTGCCGCGAATACGAGGCGGAGCAGCGCGCCGCGGGCGCCGACCC